ACACTTTATAATATTCATCTGAAATATGATTCATTTATCTGAGCAAACAATTCAACGATCGCTTGAAATGTCGACAACATGGTCATAATTAAACAAAATTGTCATAACTGTTACCTAAATGACTGTTTTTATCAGTCACAATTGAAGTCCAACAATTATCACTCCCAAATCCAAAGTAACAGCTAACTCCATCATACTAATTGATGGGATAGCAACCAATTTCACCACCACAACAATAAGTGATCTTTATCGTTCTCACAATTAAAATTTCAAAAAAGTACATGCTCGTGATATAATCCAAGTAACTATTCGGTCATCTCTGATTCCGCAAGCGATTCAAAACTTCTCAAAGTAGAATTGAAATCTTGTTAAGTTCGTTACACTTAGTGTATACAGTTTTGTATAATTGTCATTTAAAAATACACGTATACGGTAGAGCAAAATTCACGGTATTTTTATAGTTGCTCTCGTGTTATTTGTTTGGAATTGCAGTTGATCGAAAATTGCGATAACTAATAATGACAATTCAGATAGAATCGTGTGAGTACACATGTTTTCGGTTGTTCTTTTGTTTTCGGCTTGGAAACAAGCTAATATTGGCATGAAAATCCAGTATTTTTGATGATTTTGCACTTTTGAATTCAATTCGAACATCACAGAACTTTCCGGCTTTTCCCAATTGTTATAAACTTTCGCTATAAAAGTACATCGTTATTTTTGTATTTTTCATTCAGTGTTTTGGTACTCTACAATATTTGGATTCACGCTTCCAGTAGTTTTCTGCTTCTCAAGATAACGAACGTTGAAGAATGTCTGCCGTCAAATATTTCTTCCTTTGGATCGCATTCTTTCTCATCACGAATGCAATAAAGGTAAACTTTCAGCTTAAGATTTCGCTGTCAAATCGATCCACTGGTGTCCCCAATTCCACAAATCAATCGCTTAACACCGGAAATGATCGCCCAGATTCACTTGCATCTCATTTTCCCTGCTTCCTAAATTAGCTATGAGGCTCTGAATCACATTTAGTGACTTTTAATAGCCTCTGCATCTTCCTAACTCTAGAACCATTACGCGCAATCAGATAGTCCAAACCTAGTTCATTCGAGTAAGACAGTCCAAAAATAGGGTCTCATCCACATGTTACAGTCATGTTACAAGTGCCAATTTTAGGAATCTGATGGTTGCGGAACATCCAAAACAGGCACCTCATCACCTGGTTTGTTACTCTGTTTTCCTAGGCGACGAACACAAAAGTAATCGAGTGCTTAAATTAAATGAATAATGTCTCGTCTCTGAACAACTAATGAGAAACGAAATTATTAATATTGTAAAATATTTATGTTCACATCTTTCAATGGATTTTCGCTTATTCAGTTCAGTTTCGCATGAATTCTTTCGTGAAACTCAGGAAGCAATATCTTCACCAAAAAAAACCTCATTTAGGATCCACAATAAATAGACCCAGAAGATTAAGACAAGAACGCCAAGTAGGACCTGTCCATTTCAAAAATACCACGATGCGTCCACCACGTTCAGGTTTACATTAACTATTAGTTATTCCACCAAATCAATCAAGCATATTCCTCAAAATATTATTGCATGGAATTTTCACATCTTCAAATCGTGTGTTTCTATTGGTCTGTTTAATCAAATCGAAAGATCAACTGTTTCGATGTGAATTCAGTAGCGCTATCGCCACTTCCTCGAACTGAATGTAATGTAATCGCTGATATATTGCAGAAAATTCACAAGAATGCGATGATTTCGCACCTGACTGTGAGGAACGCATGAGAAATCTTGGATTTTGCGAAAGTGATTGGGCTAAAGTGGTGTGTCGGGAAACTTGTCACCTTTGTCGTGATTAGCTGATATGTTTGCCGATCACAACCTCGAGTTTGTCATGAAACACTGAACATATCAGCACTGTTATTTGACTGATATGTTAAGCTGAACAAACGCCTCTTATTTTAACGCATTTCATTTTGTATCATTTATTTGTTGAGTCAATATAAACTGAATTACTTCAGTACATGACTCTATTCGATTGATTCGTGACCTGTTCTTGTTGACTGTATATATCAAGGATCCCCATGTAGGGAGAATTTACCCAATTTTGCTTAATTCCGGGATATCAGAGGATAATGGAGGGAATCGGAAAATTAGTTCCTACGTTATGCGTGGAACTAATGAATTGATGTAGCGGGAGGGAGGGGTGGGGGGGGGGGGAAATGATGGCTGCATGACCATTGAAAGGGTAATGGAGCACCCG